GAACCCCTATGTTGAGGCAGGTCCCCGACAAGAACCAACTGGACAACACTTAACAACCTAAAACAACAACAAATTCTGTTTAATGATGACTTTGAAGGAAAGTGAAGAAAAGGTGGAGAATGGTACTTTTTATCTATGTATTTTCTGATGATGAATAAGGAATTAAACTTGAAAGGAATGAAAAGCTATTGAGAATAACTGTGCATTGTGATAAACAATTTAGCTAAAGGGATCACCAGTGAGGATCAACATTATATTGAATTCACAGTGATACTGACTGTGGTACATGCATTGGAAAGGCTGCTGGGAAGGAGGAGCTAATGTAAATTATTCAAATGAATATATGCCTGTATAGTCTGCTTTGCTCTCCACTCTTCACTCTCTACTCTCTGTGAGGCTGGTTTTCCTTAGGAAATCAAGGCTCACCGATTCAACTGCATGGCCCCAAAAGACCACATGTGTTTATTTTATATAGAAATGTGTGAGGAGAAATTCCAGTTGATTTTTGACATGTCACTTTGATTTTAAGGAGGTTTTCTTACCCATGAGACCAAAAATCTAGAATAAAAGGTAAACTTGCAAGTATTGATTTCTGTTTGTTTGTTTTCCACCAGAAGCTGCTCTATAGCACTACACTTTTACTATACAAAATTTCTGGCTAGAAGAGGGAAGTTTATCAGACCTCGTACTTTATGAAAACAGTATGCTACCTTCATTTTAATTACCCATAGCTACAAATGGGTAAAGAACAAAGTCTTCTGGTGTTAGTTTTTAATGTTAACTCAGTAATCATTAAAGACTTGGTCACCTTGGAAACATATATTCATAAAGAAAAATAAGTTTAGGTTCTGTGAAATTTCTTATTCTTAGGAGCATTTTTTTTTTTTTCATTTTATTTCATGCAGAGAGACTCTTGTTCCTCCAATTTGAAAATTGTTTATGAAATCATTAAACAGTGAAATGTTATATTAAGGCTTTGAGCTAATTCAAAGATTTTTTAAAAAGATGGTTGCTTAACAATTGTAACAAGGCTTCTTTGAGCATTTGATTTTTAGAAACAAAATAATCTTCCTGTGTACATATAGAATGAATTTTCACAATAAACCTTATGTTTTAATATCTTTGTGTGTGTGTTTTTAATCCCTTTTAACATTTAAAATTCCAAAACGAAGCTGAAATTTGAGGACATACAGGCTCTGGCAAGAAAAACACCAAGCTACTTAGAATGAACTGTCTATCCTCACAATTCGGTCTTGCCTGATATATCACAATAGTCTTATTTATGTGATCATATTATTGTTGTTGTTGTTAAGTGCTGTTGAGTCATTTCTGAATAGTAGCAACCCTGTACAGGGTTTCCGAGGAGCATCTGGTGAGTTTGAACTGCCAACCTTGTGCTTCAAACCAATCTTTCAGTTCAGCGTTTAGCCTACAACTCCACACCCGGACTCCATGATCACATTATAATTGTGGAAAACTTTCCTACTGCAGAAATACATTAACAAGGTAGTAGAAATACCCAATTATTTTAGCACAGTTATATTATGTAGTATGAGCAAGATAAAATATAAAGTTAATATTATATTATCGATATGTCTTTGTATTGTTGTTGTTGTTAAGTGCCGTCGAGTCGGTTCCGACCCATAGCGACCCTGTACAGGGTTTCCGAGGGTGTAAATCTTTACGGGAG